ATATACAATGGAGAAAAGACAGCCTCTTCAATAAGTGGTGCAGGGAAAACTGGACAGCTACATGTAAAAGGATGAAATTAGAACACTCCCTAACACCATACACAAAAATAAACTCAAAATGGATTAAAGACCTAAATGTAAGGCCAGACACTATAAAACTCTTAGATGAAAACATAGGCAGAACGCTCTATCAATAAATCACAGCAAAATCCTTTTTGACCCACCTCCTAGAGAAATGGAAATAAAAACGAAAATAAACAAATGAGACCTAATGAAACTTAAAAGCTTTTGCACAGCAAAGGAAACCGTAAACAAGACGAAAAGTCAATCCTCAGAATGGGCGAAAATATTTGCAAATGAAGCAACTGACAAAGGATTAATCTCCAAAATATACAAGCAGCTCATGCAGCTCAATATCAAAAAAAAAAAAACAACCCAATCCAAAAATGTTCAGAAGACCTAAATAAACATTTCTCCAAAGAAGACATACAGATTGCCAACAAACACATGAAAGAGTGCCCAACATCACTAATCATTAGAGAAATGGAAATCAATACTACAATGAGGTATCACCTCACACCAGTTAGAATGGGCATCACCAGAAAATTTTCAAACACCAAATGCTGGAAAGGGTGTGGACACAAGGGAGCCCTCTTGCACTGTTGGTGGGAATGTAAACTGATACAGCCACTATGGAGAACAGTATGAAGATTCCGTAAAAAAAAAAAAAAAAAAAAAAATGGTTTTACGTCCCCCATGGCCGTAAAAAAACTAAAAATAGAACTACCATACAACCCAGCAATCCCACTACTGGGCATATACCCAGAGAATGTCATAATTCAAAGAGACACATGCACCCCAATATTCATTGCAGCACTGTTTACAATAGCCAGGTCATGGAATCAACCTAAATGCCCATCGACAGACGAATGGATAAAGAAGATGTGGTACATATATACAATGGAATATTACTCAGCCATAAAAAGGAAAGAAATTGGGTCACTTGTAGAGACGTGGATGGGTCTAGAGACTGTCATACAGAGTGAAGTAAGTCAGAAAGAGAAAAATATTGTATACTAGCACATATATGTGGAACCTAGAAAAATGGTACAGATGAACTGGTTTGCAGGGCAGAATTAGAGACACAGATGTAGAGAGCAAACGTATGGACACCAAGGGGGGAAAGTGGCAGTGGGGGTGCTGGTGGTGGGATGAATTGGGATATTGGGATTAACATGTATACACTAATATTTATAAAATAGATAACTAATATGAACATGCTTATACAAATAAATAAAATAAAATTCAAAAAAAAAAAAAACCCACCTGGCTCTCCATCTCTTACTCTGGAGGAAAACTCAACAGACTTGCAAATCTCCTTAATAGGCTTGCAAAACCCAACACCGATGCTTCCCATCACCTGCTGTTACAGAATGCAAGTTCGTGTGCCTGACCCACAGTTAGGCCAAACAATACCGAAACATAGGGATTTAGTGCAGAGAAAGGTTTATTGCAGGGTTATGCAAGGAGACGGTGGCTCATGCCCCCAAAAAGCCCAGACTCCCCAAAGGGTTTCAGCAAAGCCTTTTTAAAGGCAACCTGAGGGCGGTGCGTGGTTGGTTGTTGCAGATTTACTGGTGTTGGAATCCTTTGTTCTTGCAGCTGTCGGTGTAGGTCAGGTCACGATGTTCCTGTAAACCTCCAACAAGACAAATGTCAGTCTCTGTTCTGCAACTTTTCATCTCTATATGAACAGAAAAGTATTATACCCTTAAAGGTCAGAGCCTTGAGAATGGGTTTTCCTGTCTATTTCAGGCTATAGGCAACATTCTTAACTCAGAGCAAAAGCAATGGAATACAAAGGTTAAAGTAAAAGAAACATTGCTGATATGAAGTCAGATTCGTTCTTCCCTATTACACGGCGCCCACTAGAATCATCGGAGATTCTGGTTCAGGTTCCAGTGCCCACGTGTGGGAATCGTGGTTAGACTCCACAGGCGGTGGTAAAGTGTATAACCTGGGTGGAGAACCACAGCTGTGTTTGCTTTTACCTCTACTCCCGGCCTGCCTTCTCATGCCCTCTTGCCCCCTCCCTCACACTGTATGCACTGTGTCCCCAATCCTTCCTCACTCTTCCCTCTACTGGCCCCCATGGCCCGCTCCTGTGGTCATTTGGGTCATGGTTTAAATAACTCCTCCCTGAGGATACTTCCTGACCACCCCGGTCCTCCTTGACCATGTGGCCGTGATTCTTTTTCGTCACAGCACCTACCTGATACTTTGTAGCTGGTTTGTTAATTATCTGACTCCTTCAATAATGAAGTCTCATGGTGGCAGGATCTTATCATTTTTATTTTCTTCTGAGCATTCCCTGGAGGCATAGTAGTTGCTCATTAAATGTGTAGGAGGCAGGCAGAAGGACGAAGAGAAAGGGATTTTGGATCGGTCTCCTGGGACATGGACCAACACTTGTCAGGGCGACCAAAAGATGAAATCTGCAACCACAGGTTGGTGGCCGTGTTCTGAGATCGAGGGCATGTGTGGACAGGGCTGGACTGATTTGGACTGAAATCCAGCTCTGCCACTCACTCATTCACTGCATAAACGTGAGCAGGAAACCCTTGGCCCTTTGAACTTTGATTTTCCAACCCTAAAATACAAAAAAATTATGAGTATGTCACAGGGTTGGTGTGAAGATCTATGGCGATCCAATAAACACTAGCTGTTTGTTATAAGTAGTAATGCTGACCCAGGTGTCACCCTGCCCCGTCCCCTCTTCCTGCCGCTTTCCCTCTCAAAGTGCCATATAGGGTTCTTTTTACTCTAGCGAGGTTGGGAGCCATTAGCGACACACTTGATTATTTCAAACAACTTCCTTCAGGGAGGTGGAGCCTCGCTTTCTTCCAGAAAGCAGCCCCACTATCCATCACATGGGCCTGGTGCTGTTATGAAAACTCAAAATCAGCAGCAGCCAGCGAGGTGCGGGGTGGAGCCCGCCAGCTGGGGTGGGCCCTCTTGGACACAGACATATGCTTCTTTTGCACCTAACATGGGCTCAGAATTTAAACTTGTGCTGAGGCACAGCGGGCAGAGAAGAGTCCAGAAAACAAAACAGTGGAGGTGCCAGATAGCTCACATTTGCTTTTGTTTCCTCTTGGAAATAAGACCAAAGCTTCATTGTGGTATCAGGTGCTCAAAAGAAACAAATCAAACTGAACCAAAACAAAAACAGAACTAACTTCTGAGGGGAGACCACATACTACAATTGAACTGAGATTATAGAAATATTATAAATGCACTTTGTAACATTTCTATTCCCTGGGGGTACCATGCATCTGTTCACGTCAGCCTTTCCCTAATCCTGAGTGGCTCCTGAGGAATATGCTGGTGCAGACCCAGGTCTAAGTCTCTGTCGGAGGCTCCTTCTCCCTGCCTCAGTGGGGGTCTTCAGGCGGACGCATATTTGCTTGTCCAAGACCCTGACTGCCTTAAGGTGACAGCCCATTTCTTTGGAATGCTGCTGGGATTTTCCTGAGGCCCTGGATTCTGGCCGGGCCCTGTCTGGAGGGTGAGCAGAGGGCAGGTGCTGGGAGGCGTCTCTGCAGATCAGTCTTCATGGCGACATTGACTCTCCTGGTTCACACGGCCCAGTGCCTTTCCAAACACTGGGGACGTTTTCCCTTCAGTGGGAGAACTCTTCTGATTTCTTTCTCTTTTCTTCTATTTTTCCTTTGAATCTTGTCTTTGAAGTTGAATAATGGTGCCATCTTTTTCTTTTATGTTTATAACCAGACAGAATACAAGTTCAGCCACTGTGTTGTTTCCATATTGTAAATCGGTAGCTGTGTTATAGTTCCCCAGAGGGGAAGAGATGTCTTCGTATCCATGCCTCTATCCCACCTTCTTGTATATTCCTGGAAAATTCTGTATATTCTCAAGCCTGAGAAATCTTCGGTGGCTCCACTGGAGTATTGAGCGAGGGGGGACAGGCCCAGGTCGGGGAGACTGATAGAAACATGGTGGAGTCTTGGCTGGGGGTCACAGGGAGCCCACTGCAACTCCATGTTTGAAGGACATCGAGTCACCTGTCTGCTTGTGCTGAATGCAGGCAGGGGAGCTGGTTACCATCCAGGGGTTCCAGACAGTATTTGTGGCGGCTGCTCAGATGCATCCCCATGCAACAAGCACCCCCATGAAACATTTTTGTGTGCCAGCCTCTTGGCTAACCCATAGGGCTGAGAGTCTCACGGGGATTTCAGAGTTATCACAAAAAGGTATACACTATTTTTGAAAAAACACAGACCATTTTTAAGTGTGCCATCTGTAAACATCCTTGTGATGAGCAATATGTACTTTGATTTAAAAAACTTCCAGACTCATAGTCATTCTTAGCCACTGTGTACTTTCTTAAAGGACACTAGACAGACATTACTCTTATGTTGTTGTCCATTACATTTTCTGACCTTGGAAAGGGCTAATCCCTCCATTAGAAAGGATGCAGAGGCTGAGCATCCTTGATGGAGACTACAATTGTGAGTGAAAGCTCCTGCTCTGAAAGTGTTCTAGCAGCTGTGGGAGATTTCCGTGTCCTCAGAGGCGACAAGAACCTAGTGTGGAGATTTTTTGTGGATGGGATGACCTCATACCCAGGGCCCTGCACCCAGAGCGACACTGAAACACATTTTCATGCCATGGTGGCACTACCCCAGTAAACTATGACTCTTTATTGCTAAATGCAGCATGCAAAGGAGTCACTGACCATAAAGTCTATTAGATGTTAACCTTGAACTTCATGCCCATGTTTAACTGTTTGTTGATTTCAATACAACTGTGCATGGTGTGTGTGTCTACTGAGTCCTGCTGTGTTTGTAACAGACTGGGCTTAGATTAAGGATGGATAACAAAGAGCGAACTAAGCCCACCATGATGTTTCTCTAGAAATGTGCAACATCTGTACCTTCTGAAATTAATCCTCTTTCCACTTTTTTTTTTTTTTCCAGATAACTTGTTCAAACCGAAAGAAAGGTACATTTCAGAGAAGGAGATGCACATGCGATCTAAAAGGTACTTGGTTATATTGTGTGAGGTCAAAAAAAGTGGGGGAGGAGGGAGGAGGGATGGCTTGATGGATCCAGGCACTGTCCAGCTGGGCCACTATTTCTAGGTCCACGTTTGAGCTCTGAGGTCTTCTTGGCCGTGGATTTGAAAAGCTGGCTGAAAGAAATAAAGTTGTTGAATTGCGCCTCTGAACGCTAATGTCCTTCTTGGAAAAACCTTAGGAAAGTGGTGGGTCTTGGATTCTGAGCCAGTCCTGTAATTGGTCTCTAAGAGATCCCCAGACTCATAACAGGAATGCTTCTGCACTTTCCCATCGTTGCTCTGGGCAGGTGCTGTTTGTCACTGTGCACCTTCGCAGGTAGTTTTATGAGAAGGAGAAAAGCTAGGTCTCCTGAGGGCCTTGACAGTGGCAGAGCCTGGAGAAAAGCATCCAGGCTTGGAGGCCGATGGTGCCTGGGGCCAACGAAGCCACAGAGGGCCACGAGCCGGCCTTTTTGGCACCACATCACTGGCGGGCTTGGCGGCCCTGCTGCCCGCAAACTCTCCCTGTCCTGCTTGGCTGGTTGCTATTCTAGACGCCCACTCGTTCTCACCAACACACAAAGGCTGCAATTCTTTCTGAGACCTGGCCTCCCAACCCAAATGTAATAACTTGACAGAGTTTGCCAAGTTCATCTAAGTAAAATGCCATTAGTTTATAATAAAGTATCTAGCACTGGGAGGACCTATAACAATTAAACCAAATTGATAGTACAACTTAGAGAAACCATTAAAATAGGAAGAATACATTTCTCCCCACTCCAGGTGCAAAATCTCTGCTTTCCCATGATTATATTGTTTCCATGACAATTAGCCAACTTTGATTATCTGTAGGGAACCTCTTTGTAAACGAAAAAGTAAAAGTGAGGAGAAAGGGGACCATCCCATTAATGACCCACTGCGCAGCTTTCTAACTGGGGTTTTTAAAGGGCCACTGGGTTTCAAGACCTGCCGTTTCAGAAGTGCAAAGTTGTGTATACCTCACGCCAAAAGTATTCCTTTTTCAATTTGGTGGAAAATTCAGCCAAATCTTCCCCTCCTGGTCCCTAAGTCCAGAGCTGCTATTATGGAGACTTGAAATTAAAATGTAGATCTCAAAGCAGCATTCGTGGACAGAGTATCACCATATCATTCTACTGAGAGGAAACTGAGGCTCTGAGAGGACCGATGAGCAGAGTAATGCTGTTCCCCACATCATGGCTTCCCTGGCTGGAAGCCAGGTCTCCTCAGATGCGGTCAGTAACGGGACTTCGCTCTGCTCTGTGGGCTGTGCCCTGGGTGGGCTCAGGCCCCGGTTCTCAGACCTCACGCACCCACAGAATCACACTGGAGCTTCCTTTTCTTTTGTATTCTTTGCTATTAGTTGTATTATTAAATTACATTTTCATTAAAAAATTTCAAACAGAGGAGAGAGAGCTGAAGTCCCCCATGACTGACTGGCCCCCCTCCTGCCCCACCTCCCAGCCTTGTACTTTCTCCAGAGACACCACAGTTATCAGCATCCTATATATCATTCCAGGCCTTTCTCTCTGCCTGAAAATAGACGTTTATTTGTACGTCCTTTTAGGCATACAAATTAGATAGCTATTTAGTGTCTAATTAGATAACTATTATTAGCTATCTAATTCTTAACCATAAATGGGATCATGCTATATACAATATTATCTTTCTGTAGCTTGCTTCTTTTACTTTGTGTCTGTGAGGTCTTTTTCTATGTCAGAAGACATGAATGATTTTCCTCATTGATGCAGAGTGGTCCATTGTACAAATGTGCCATAATTTATTGAGGATGTTAAGAAAATACTGCAGCAGAAGCTCCAGGGCTGAGGCCTAGGAATTTTTATCCTAAACTCCCCACAAGATCAGATGGTCAAGATCGGGAAGATGTGTGTCTATGGATCCTGAAGGATTTCCACTGTGGAGCTTTGGGACATGTCAGATTTCCTACTGACCCTGACAGACTTCTCCTGGTCCCCTCTAGAATTGCTCTTCGATTTGGCAATCGTGTGTTCATTTAGATCATGTCGATGCCCTCAGTGTGCCAGGCACTGTGCCATGTGCAAGCAATTCCCAGGTCACTCTGCACTACATGATTGGGGAGCAGTGTTGCATGAAGTCAGACAGACCGAGGCCGGACTCCCAGCCCCTCATTCACCAGCAGAGGGACGCCACTGGCCTCCTGACCTCGCTGGGGATGGGTTCCTCACTCCCATAACAGCAGGACACTGGACGGTGTCTCTTCCGACTGTCGTGAGGGCTACCCGGGAAAATTCATGTCAGATGATTAGCCTAGTAAGAAGCCCTCTTGCACTGTTGGCGGGAATGTAAATTGGTGCAGCCACTATGGAGAACAGTATGGAGGTTCCTTTAAAAACTAAAAATAGAACTACCATATGATCCAACAATCCCACTGCTGAGCATATATTGAGAGAAAACCATAATTCGAAAAGACACATGTACCCCAATGTTCACAGCAGCACTATTCACAGTAGCCAGGATATGGAAGCAACCTCAGTGTCCATTGACAGATGAATGGATAAAGAAGATGTGGTCTACATATACAATGGAATATTACTCGGCCATAAAAAAGAATGAAATAATGCCGTTTGCAGCAACATGGATGGACCTAGAGATTATCATACTAAGTGAAGTAAGTCAGACAGAGAAAGACAGATATCATATGATATCAATTATATGTGGAATCTAAAAAAATAATGATAGAAATGAACTTATTTGCAAAACAGAAAGACCCACAGACATAGAAAACAAACTTATGGTTACCAAAGGGAAAAGGCGGGAAGGGTAAATTAGGAGTTTGGGATTAACACATACACACTACTATATATAAAATAGATAACCAACAAGGACCTACTGTATAGCACAGGGAACTAGAATCAATACTTTGTAATAACCTATAAAGGGAAAGAATCTGAAAAATAATAAATACGTAGATGTATAACTGAATCACTGCTGTACACCTGAAACTAACATAACATTGTAAATCAGCTATATTTCAATAAAAAATAAATAGATAAAAATTTTAAAAAGGTAAATTCATAAAAAGATTATTAGCCTAGTGCCCTATAACCAAGACAATGCCACCTGCTAATATTGTCATCATCAATACTTGTGTAGTTTGTAATTATTATTTTAAGAGGGCAACACGTTAAACAAATTTTGTCTGGTTTTCAAACATGAGAGAAAATAAAACAAGAGACGTTAAGCCAAGTGCCACGTGTACAGCACTCCCAAAAGCTCAGGCTACAGTGTGTCCTCTGTGTCTGTGGATTCCAGCAGAAATCTTGTTTGGCATCAGTACATAAACAATTTCTGTAGGGAAGTAAGAAGAAAGGGCCCAGAAGAAGGGTCCCTCAGGCCCTGCTTGTATCTTGGAAGCTGCTAACTTTACACCAGGACAAGAACATAATATCAATACATATGCCTGAGAGGTATTTGGAAACAGCTTAATTAGGAATCCAGTAGGTAAAGAGGCAGACACACACATATTTTATGTGTATGTCATTCCAGTACAATTCCTGCTACTTCCATTGATTCGCTGCTCCTTTTCTAAGTCATAGGGAGACAAAAATAGAGTGGCAAAAAGGTATTCGGTAAAAGGTAAGTTTACACTCAGAGCGGCAAAGGGGTAGGTCTAGAATCTCTCATTTTACAAGCAAGTGGTTAATTATCCTAGAAGATGGAGAGACAAGAAAAGTGACTTCTGATTAAACAACCGGCCTCTCCAGCTTTGCCCTTGGTGGGGCTCCATCTGCTGCGTGGCCCCTGCCTGGGCAGTCCCATCTGGAGATGGTCAGGGGAGCCCCGGGTCTTGGGGTCTCCAGATGTGAGGTGGCCCATATGCAGCTGATCGTCCCTTTGAAATGGAAGAGCCTGCTGACAAGAGAGGACACAGATCCACAGCAGACACACGCTATCTCGCTGCCATTCAGAATGTTTTCTGAATCTGTTTCAGAATCTATAATAACTTGCCGGAAGTTAGAAAGAAAAAAGAAGAACAAAAGAAAAGGGTGATCTTACAGAGTAACAGACTCCGGGCCGAAGTCTTCAAAAAGGTAATGGCCCGGCCGCCAGCAGGTGTGACGTGTGTGTGGTGCCCAGATGCTGACTCTGAACTTGACTTCTTTGTCTCTAATTCCCTAGCAATTACTGGACCAGCTCCTTCAAAGGAACGCAGTCTAACCACAGGCTGCCCTGCTGACCCTCTACCTGGACCTGGGACGACTTCAAACGCTGGATAAGCCATTAAACTTAGCATTGTCTTCATGATGTGAAACACTTATTTTACTTTTGATTTTTTTTTTTTTTTCATGAAGGAAAGCATAGCTTCCTGAATTGCTGACCCAAACCAAGCAGAAACAAAAACCCTTGAGGAAATGGATCATCAGACCGCAGTGGGGTAATCAACTCAACTGAACCCACTCCATACAGTCCCTTCATTTTTTTTTTTACTTCTGAATTTTATCTTTTGCTTCTGGTTTTTCCCCCTACCATTTCCACTCAGGCAGAAAGGTCTTCTATGCTCAAGTGGGCTTAGATCCCTGGGAGCTGGGGTTTTTTTTTTCATCGAATTTCTAGGACCTAAAATACATCACTTTCAAAATACCAATCTCAACTTCTGCCAGTTCTGCAAACTCCAAATTTGGGGATATCACACAGTGTGTTTGCAGCCACTCTGGGTGTGTGTGCCATGTAATACTGAAAGCAAACTTTGGAACTAGGCGGGAGCTCTGCCAGAGGCTGGGGACAAGTGACCTGTTTCTTGGTGACCTGGGGTGATCAGAGCAGCCCTCACTACTCCCACCCTACTCCCAGGACCTGCCTTCGTTTAGCAAAAGAGCCTATTTCCATGGAAGCCATGAGGGCAGAATTGGCTGAAAAAAGCTGTAGGTAACTTCAGTGTTTTCTGTAAACCCTCCGGCCCCAAAAAAGAGCCGTGTTGCTGAAAATGGCCTGATGGCTCCAACTCTAACGTTTGTTCCTCCAAACAATTACAATGTCCATTATTTATAAGTGTGCGTTTGGGGAGTGAAGAGCAATAAGCTTTATCAAAAATGGAAATAAATGCAATTATTACAAAAATTTAAGTATTGCTCTATTCCGTGTTCTGTGTTATGAACCAAGCAGCCAGTACAGATGGTGCTCAGAGAGAAATGTCACCAAGGTCCAGTGGGGACCTCTGACCTGCTCCCGTGCCACCACCTTCTGACCATCACAGCCCCCAGGTCAGGGCCCTTGTTCTTCCCGGTGCCTGGGGAGAAGGTTTTCCCCAGAGAGCTGGCATGAGAGGTGTCGGGATGTTGTTGAGAGCAAGGTTAGGATCCTGAGGTCCCCACATCTCACCAGGAATCTCCCCAGGAAGGAGAAGGCAGTTTAGGGGATTAGGCAGGGCCCTGGTGACACCTCTGTCCCTTTCCCTCCTCCCACAGCTGCATGCACCATCCCGTCTTCCTGGAATGCCTTTCCTCTGCGTATCTGCTGGAAAACTATTTGAAAGCTCAGCCTCTGAGTTCTCTCCTGCCACGTCTCCTCTGCCCTGCCCTCGGTATGGATGGGCACTTCACTCTGGGTGCACGTGGCATCAGAACCTGTGCAGTGTTGCCCAGCAAGATGATCTGACCATGCCACCGTGAGTGGAGACTGTGGATTCACGTCTTGGCTGCACTGCTCCCTGGTCTGTGGCTGTAGGCAAGGGTATCAGTCTGGACCCCCTCAGGAGAGAGGAACCTCACAGCGACATGAACAGGGAAGTTTAATGTACATGGTTATAAACCATAACAGAGGATTGGAGTGATGAGGGATTGGCTACTGAGCAGTAAAGAGAACTCAAAAGAATACAGGTGGGAATAGCAGGTAAAGGAGCGGTGCTGCCCTGAGGACAAGTACTCCCCAGGCTCCTGGGTGAAGACCTAGATATTGTTGGAAACTGTCTCCTTGGAGGCACTCTGCTACAGCACCACCTGAGGGAGGTGCTGGGGTAGGCAGCTGGCCACCGAGTGCCGCCGGTAGCTTGACCTGCAGGAACCGGGTGGGTGGATGGGGGGTTGCACATTTGTAGGGACCTTTGAGCCACTGTCCCTGGTGTGGGAAGCCATGCCCTGCTCCTCCTGCAGTGTCTCCCCCGCTCCCTCTACTGGCAAAGCAAGGCAGTGTGCCAGCAGGTAGAGGGGAAACATTGCAAGGACCTGGATCCATTTTAACAGAGAAGGCAAAAAGGGTGCCTTTGGAGGTGTGGGATGATAAACTGACTGGTGTGGCCAGTTATTTAACCTTGCCTCAGTTTGCTTATCTATCAAATGGAGATAGGGTTGTTATAGGAATGGAATAAGCCAGTGTGAGTTGACTGCTTAGAAGGGTACCTGGCCCAAAGCAAATAGCCTGAGTGTGTCCTGTCATAGGTACATGGACGTGGAAGCAGAGTGTCCTGATAAACCCTGAGCACAGAGCCAGCAGTTGTTCATTCTCATAACCCCTTAGCTTGGCACTGAGAAGATGCACCAAAAAGACTGTTGAATTTGTAGACGTTGCTACAGCAAAAATCAGTCGTACAAACAGGATGCTTTGCAAATGTGTTGTCTCTCGAGCTCTTCTCACTCTTAGAAACAATTTCAACAGCATGGTTAGGCTTGCCCTTAAGCTTAATTCGGCTTATGTGAAATTACTAGGCCTCTTCCGGATTTTTTTTTCATCGAGTCTGATATTAGTTTAGGGCAGTCTTTCTTAGGTAGCTGTCCTGCCACACCTTTTTCTTATTTTTCTTTAATATCTTCAGAGAGTTTCCAAAGCTTTCCCTAACCAATAATTTAAATTCAGGGCCCACCACTTCTAGACAGTTCTGTGACACTTTCTAAAAAGTGGATTTATGTGAGCTAACATCTAAATATCTCAGAATGCCTCGATGGAGCCAGCTTTCAACAATGTCCACGAAGGGCTTCCCCGCTCTTTGCAAACCTGATGTCAAGTGTTTAAATCAAAAGAATAAATCAAAGCCCACCTGAGATTAAATGCCACTGAATAATGTATTTCTTAGGACAGTCTTAGTTAAGGTGCCTGAAGTAAGTAGTGGGTAGGAATATACGCTGTCCGGCTTGAGCCGGGCTTCCCTCTGGACAGCCAGCTCAGGACAAGGCTGCAAATTAAAGTTTTGGTTTCTGCTCGACTGATTTCTTCTCTATTATTGTAGTTGTTGTTTTTTTGTTTTTGAATGCTGATGAGTGAATTTCAGGTGTCTAGCATTTCTTTTCTGTTATAATGAGGTTGTAACAGAAATATAATAATGTTATAATAAATATGGAAGTAAAGGTTTGAATCATAATAGCTGTCCCTATAGTTCTGTCAGGAATTGGTCACCCACGTGCTGGATTCTCTTATTAAAATCAGGCATCGGGAGAGACTAGGGTTTTGAAATTCTAAGTAGAATTTATCATTGTAACTTCAATAATCAAATTCTGTCCTAGAGCTGATTTCTTTGCCACTAAGGTGGTTTGGGTTCTGGCATGGAGCAATCCTTCAATGATAATGCAAATAGCAGGAGTTAACGTTTTGTAGCTGGTATTTGTGAGCTCGGACCAGGCAACATTTGGAATCATTTGAGATGGACACACCAGACGGTCCCAGCACCAGCCTGCATTGCTGTGGTCTCCATGGCTTCACATCGAAGGAGAAATGCCTATTTTGGTGATTTGTCCTCTCTGCCAGCTGGTAATGGGATAATGGAAAAATAATTGCCTGGGGTTTTTTTAGCCAGCGTCTATTGCCAATCCAACTTCCTGGAAGCTGTGTGCTCCCTGGGTGAGTCAGCAAATGCTTGCTCAGATGAAACAAGGCTCATTGAAAGAACTATTTGTGAAACAACCGAAGAGTGAAGAGTGTTTGAAAATCCTATTCCCTCAGAAGTCCTCCCACGTCAGCACTTGTCGGTATAAAAGTTGCAGGCCATGGACCTGGTCTCCAACCATATCAAGTGGCCAACAGTCTGAGCATGAGGCAGATCAGATGCAGAACAAGAGGAAGGGGATGTGCGGCCACCTCACCCCACTGGAGGGTCTCTGACAGCAGGGACAGGCGGGTTCTGGGTTAAGGAAGTAAGAATGTGATGGCAAAAACAAAAAGGATTCACTGTGGGTTTGTGTGAGAGTGTGGGCATGTGCATTAAAAGCAAAGGCAATGATCTGTGAAGTGATTAAAATGAGTCTATCAGCAGATGGTTCTCCGTTACAGAGTTCACGGTATTTGTACTTTCATCAGTACTTGATAATGACCCACGAATGTCTAGCTAAATAGAAACCTTTTGGAATCGGCTGTCCCTGAGCTGAACGAGCCACCCCAAGGGCTGAAACACTTTGGAAGTCGCTCCAGCCTCCTCTGACCCCCGTGGACACGATGTCCCCCACTTCTCTGGAGAGCAGGATGTCAGAAACTTCCCTGAGAATCCACGGCCCCTCTCCCCACTGTCGGGCTGCTGGTCTGGGAGAGGCGGGCTCCTCCACGCAGATGTTTTCTCCACATGGAGCATAGTGACGATATTGGCACGTTGCCCCCCCCCCCCAAATGGAGGGTTTCTTTCAAGTCCGTCGGCTGCCTCAGGCAGAGTTCTGATGCTGGGACCCCAAGAGACTGTCTGAGGTAGTTGTCTGGGGTGTGCGTAGTGGGGCAGGCATTGAAATCCTTCCCCTTTCTCTTGCTTCTCTAAGAAGGTTTTCACATCCGTTTCAGGGCGGCTGCTGTTACCTGCCAGGCTGCAGCCGGAAACGAGACTTCAGGCTTCACACATCAGGACCTTGACGAAGGGCTTGGGGGTGGGGAGACTTGCCTTGCCTCTAGGATCTTCAAAAAGGCTTGCTTGTTCTTACCAAAGCTTAAAAGGGAAGAGAAAGAAGTTTTGGGGTGTAACTTGCAGCTGGGGAAAAACAATTAAGGATTTCTTTAAATCTTTTGGATAAGACAACGCCAATCGTGAAAGACATAGGAAAAATGTCCTGTGGATGACTTTCAGAGCATCCTCCCTTTGTTCAAATAGCTGAACTTAGCTGACATGCCTGAAATGGGGCAACAGCTGTAACTGACATCAGAGGAAAGATATTACAACCGTTACCCATGTTAACTGCATACGACGTGTGATATCTTTTCATCAGAGCCGACGGGGCCGCTTGCCTTACTTGCCCACTGATGTCAGCAAGAGG